CTCCAATCCTGCGGCAGGCAGCCTGCCCTTGCCCTGCACACAAATACAGGGGGCATATGCCCCCCATGCAACCCCCGGAGGGCATGCAGCAATGGGGAGCCAACCCCTCTCCCCCACACCTGCACCCCCCAGACAAGCCACTTGCAGCTCCATCCCATTTTCCGTCCCAGTTGGGCAGCACCTGCCCCTGCCTCATTCCATCCCTCACTGTGGGTGCCTCCCCACAGTGTTCCCCCCCACGTCCTTCTCTCCTTCACACTCCCTCTGCTCCACAGACTTACTGGCTGAACACTTCTCTCCAAGTTGCCGGGCTGCATATCAGCTATTGGATTGGTATCAGCCAATATGGCTGGTTAATAATCAGCTATCTATATTGGCCAAAAATATGTTCATCAGTGTACCCCTAGTTGTTTGTCTTTTCAGTTAGACCATAGCAAATAAAGTGACTGTTTAGGTCTTCTCTGTCTACAACACTGGTGCTATCCTTCATCAGTTTTAAACCTTTGAAGTATACTGTGGTAGAAAGACCAGGACTGTCTATATTACCACACTTATCTCGTTGGACTTGAGCAGATGCTGCCTATTTGGGGCCAAGCCCTAGTTCATCTTTATGCTCCAGAGCACCTTCCTTTTCAATGCAATGTCCATCTGGTCATGTCAAAACATTTATATAATTTTAAGCTTTTCAGACCATTCCATAGAAGAAAAATATACAGTCATTGTAAGAGAGACAATTATAGTATGTGCCCCACACACATTCCTAAAATAATTCTTCCAAAGCAGCTTTAATGTGAAATCTGACTCTACATGTTCTCAGCCACCACTCTCAAGTCCAATGTGATATATCTTTCTACCTTTGCCTACAGACTTCTATATGGATTTCAGTTTTTTCACCGTAGAAAATCCAGGTTCCATTAAAACTCTGGTAGAAACCTGCACTCCAATTAATGGGAACTCTTTTCATAAGGAAGTCTGAACGTATCTACTAATTATCACAAGTACACCTGACAGAGCCTTTCCTTCCAATTGCACATCTGTTACCCCCATTAGGATTTTCTGAGTCAGCTGCATTTAATTTGAAGATGCTGGTAATATACAGAGCAGTTTTGGTTAGTCTGTTCACAATGAATGGGTTAGTAATGTAACTGGTATCTTCTCTCAAGATCCTTTACAGTATTCCCATAATATACATGGAATCCTGGACAAATAGGACTGGAAAGGCCCTCAGGAAATCATCTAATCCAATCCCTGCTCAGGGCAGAATTATCTAAAGAGTTTCATCCATATGCTTGTGTAACATGGTTAAGGATAAGAAGAAATCTGCAATTTCTATTTTCCATTTATAAATTAAACAGAATGCATTTCTAAGCAAGAATAAAAGCTAAAAACCAAGGACAGACAAGAAAAACAAGCAAACAAAGGAAGTCAATCAACCCCTGCCCAATGAACCCCTCCCATCCAAAAAACCCCCAACCATTTCACAGCCATTTCACATCTAACTGACTTTCACTGGACATTAAATGGGAAACTGTCAATCAATAATAGGTGTATTTTTTCCACTAACACTGTAAAACTGCTACTGAGGTTCTTCACGCAGCCCATTCTGTTGTTCATAAGAGTTTACATTACACAAATAGTTAGCAAGTGGTTTTGACTCTAGATAGTTTCACTGCAAAATGTAAGGTGAACTGTTTTGTCTTGCTGAAACAAAAGTGCCTGCAGCCAAACAACAGGAGGGAACATTCCTTCAATGTTTTCTGATTTAGAACTAAATCAGTTGTAGCTGCTTTGTTGGTCACATTTTTCACCTGGAGCTGAAAATCAAATATAAAATTAAAGGCTGGTGACGGTTGTTGACACCAGCACTGAGGTCTTAACTGTAGAGCTGAGGCAGAGATTCAGTGTTACAGGTACTGAGCAGGAGCAGCTGCATAACAAACCCAGAGAGTATGGCCAAGCACTTCAGCTAAATACATGCAATGGTTCAAGCTCATAAGTGAAATCACTGTCTTCTTCTATACAGCTTGGGACCCCCTGCATTAAACTGGCATAACTCACTCTGAACAGAAAAGTTAAGGTACTTGCCTTGGGCTACAAGGGATTCATTAGATTCTAGCCCCTTGTTCTACTCTTTGAAAACGATCAGTTCCAGCGGAGTGAACTGTTCTTGCAGCTGTTTCAATTAGCACATTGTGAGTAGGGACCAAAAAACTGTTGGTGCACAGGAAGCTGAGAAAATTTCATAGTTTGTAGGGCCAGAAGGGACCCGAGTAGATAAGGCAGCAAATAGTGTGGAGGGTGTCAGGGTACATTTGGCTCCACAAAAGCTACTAGGAGCACAGCAATCCCAAGTACAAGCACACACTCAAGTACACTTCATTGGTCCAAGCAGTACTCAGTATATATTTGACTGATCAAATCAGTGTTTAGCCCCTGCAGTAAGCATGCATTCCCTACCAGGACCTTCTTGTGGCAGGCTACAAAGCTGCTTTACTTTGCTTGAAGCAGTTCTGGGCTACCTGCTGGGCTCATCTAAACTGAGGCCTGATTCTGCCCACAGTGCCACAATTCTGGTGACCAACACTTACTTTTCCTAATTTTCGTGCTGGAACTGGAGCACTTTCAATTTTCATTGTATGTAAATTAGATATGCAATCATGTGTTTAGTGTGCTAGGATTCACTCTGCAATGCAGTGCACAAATAAGGGACAAATTAATTCTTTGTTGTGTAGAATATGAAACCACCTCTCCAGCAGCTTAGTATCAGTGTGACAGTTTCACATAATTATCACAGAAACCAGGGATGTCCAACTTGTTGGACACCTTGGGCTGGATCTCACCAGCAGATGCTGACTACACTAACACTGCAGCTCCAGCAGCCAAGGCAATGGGGTCAAGCAGTGGCAGCATTTATTTCTTGGCTAGTGGCAGATCTGGCCATATGTTTAACATTTCTTGCTTAAGCAAATAACAACAGGGGAACTGAGAACAGTTGTGCCACTTCTAATATGGCCAGGCAGTGACATGAGGAGTGGCTTGGAGCTTACAATAGAAATTTGTCAATTGACAAACAAAAGTTGCTTCAGTTGTAATTAACATCAAACAGAGATAATTATGCTGGATAATGGCCATTCTATACCTGCATAAAATCCCTTGTTCCATTAAAGGACATTTTTCATTAAATACATGGCCACTGAGAGGGCTTCCCAGTGACTAGTTCTGTCACATGGAGCTTTTACAACATAATACATGTGCTAGCATGGTGAATCAGCTATGTCAAACCATAGCAGTATTAATCAGCAGATTCATTTTTGGGGGGAGTTGTAACAGGTCACCCTCACTGGCACCAGGGTCTGTGCCCCAAAAGCAGCACCCTCACTGGCACCAGGATCCCCACTCCATAGTGGGTCTCCAAAATGAGGCCTCCTTCTTCCCCTAATAGCCTCACCCAAACCACCAGTCTTATTCATAAAACAAAAGAAAGAAAAGAAAAAAAAAAAACTCACCAACCAATGTGATCAATCAAAGCAGCAGCTCAGCTTACATTCACAGGGTTCGTGCCTCAGCTCCCTTCTGTTGGCTACACTCCTTGCTGTGGTGCAGCTGCCATCTCCACACAGCTTCCATAGTTCCTGCCTTTGGACCGCTCACCCAGCTTCTCTATGGAGCACTCAGAGACAGCCCTTCCCCCCCCTGGCAGCTATCCCCCTTACTGCCATTCTGCCCAGGGTTTTTATAGTCCTGCCCCTTCCGGTCAGCTGACTAGCTGGCCAGGCCCAGCATTTAACCCCTTCCTTACCAGCGCTCTGTACCCAGAAAGTTCTGGCCTTAAAGGGGCAGACCTGTTTCTGGTGACAGGGCTAGGGTTCCCTGTTACACACCCCCTCTCTTCTCTTTTGTCTGGGGTCTTCCCTTCCCCTCTGAACCCTTTTCTTCTTCATACTGTCTAGATTAAAAAACAAAAAAAACAAAACAAAACAAAACAAAACCAAAAAAAAAGTCGGCACTTATATTCTTAGTTCCTGGATGATGCTCCACCTCAAAAAAGTATGGTTGGAGACTAAGGGCCCATCTCATCAGCCTAGAGTTATTGATCTTCATGCTCTGAAGCCATCGCAGCGAGGTGCGGTCTGTAATTAATGTAAATTTCCAACAATAGATAAACCACATTAACATGCTGAAGCATTAACAGATATACCATATTAACATATCGAAGCGTTTTTATGGCCCATTTGATCACCAAACATTCTTTTTCTATTGTTGCATAATTCCTTTCCGGGGGGTGTAACTTTCTACTAATGTATACTATTAGATGTTCCTCTCCTTCCTCCATTTGGACCAACACTGCCCCAATAAACCCAGGCAGACACATCTGTCAATACCATAAATGGTTTGTTGAAATCTGGCATATATAGTAGTGGCTGCGTACACGGTGCCTCCCTCACCTTTTGAAATGCTGCTTCTGGTGTCCATCTCACTTTGGTTGGAGCTGCTGCCTTTACCATTGTGGTTAAAGGCACCACTAAGTCTGTGAAATGAGGGATGAATTTCCTGTAATAATTTGCCATTCCCAAAAAGGCCCTCACTTGTCTCTTTGTTTTTGGATTTTGATATTTCTTTATTGCCTCTACCTTGTCCAATAGTGGTTGTACCTTCCCACTTCCTACTTGGAACCCAAGGTACCGTGTTTCTTCCTTTCCAGTTATACACTTCTTTGGGTTAGCGGTTAATCTCGCCTTCCTTAAGTCCTGCAATACTGCCCGCAGTGCTGTTAAATGCCCTGGCCAATCTGTGGTATACACAATAATGTCATCTATATACGCCGCAGCGTAACCCCCATGAGGAGCCAGGACTCTGTCCATTAGCTGTTGAAATGTTACGGCAGCCCCATGCAATCCGAATGGCATGCGTCGGAAATGGAATAGGCCCCAGGGTGTGGCAAAGGCTGTTTTTTCTTGGTCCTCGGGTGCTAAGGGGACCTGCCAGTAGCCTTTCATTAGATCCAACGTGGAGATATAGCTAGCTTGCCCTATATTCTCCACCATTTCGATGCTTATCCAATGCAGAGGGTGGACAAACTTGGCCACCGCATTTACCTTTCGGAAGTCAATACAGAGCCTTGTTTTCCCATCTGGTTTCGACACGGCTACAATGAGACTGCACCACTCGCTTTGGGACTCTTGTATTATGCCTCTCTCTAACATCATCCCAAGTTCCTCTTTTATCGGGCCTTGGAGTTGTTGTGGAATTCACCTCCAGTTCTCATGGATCACCTGGCCTGGAGGGGTCCTTATTTGATGCATCACCCCCTTAGCCTCTCCGGGGACCTCTTGGAACACATCTCCATATTCCCACACTAGTTCCTTTGTCTGCTCTCTCTGCTCTTCTGGGAGTTGGGGAGTCACTTCCACTTCACTACCCAGTTCCCTCTCCCTCAGGGAGGGTCCTAGTTTGGGTTCATCTGGTTGGAGGGCCAAGTACAGGCACTCTCGTTCTTGCCATAGCTTTAGCATGTTAATGTGGTATATCTGCTTTTTCTTTTGTTTGTCTGGTTGATATACCTCATAATCTTCAGGTCCTATTTGGCGTGTTATTTCATAAGGGCCTTGCCATCGCGCTTGTAGCTTACTCTCCTCATCTGGCAAGAGAACCAGTATGCGTTCTCCTAATTCGAACTTCCTCTCTCGAGCCCCTCGATTGTAATGGGTTGCATGCCGCCCTTGGGCCTCCCTCAGATTTTCTAAAGCTTCCCTCCGTGCTGACTCCAGGCATTCTCTCAGTTGTATTACGTATTGAACTAGATTCTGGTCTTTACTTTGTTGCTTTTCCCAGCCGTCTTTAACCAAATCAAGAATTCCTCTTGGTTGTTGTCCGTATAACAGTTCGAAATGGGAAAAGCCTGTTGAGGCCTGGGGTGCCTCTCATCGCAAACAACAAGGGCGGTAACATCTGGTCCCACTTCTGAGGGCTCTCTACCACAAACTTTTTCAGCATCTGTTTCACGGTGCTGTTAAATCACTCCACTAGTCCATCAGTTTGGGGGTGGTATACTGTGGTCTTTAGGTGTTTGATTCCTAGTGTTTTGCTAACTCCCTTGAACACACGAGATGTAAAGTTAGTCCCTTGATCTGTCAACAATTCTTTAGGGAGCCCCACTCTGAAGAATATTTTTAATAATTCTTCTACCACCTTGGGTGTGGACACCATCCGCATAGGTACAGCCTTCGGATACCTTGTCACATAGTCTAGGAAGACCAAAATAAATTGGTGCCCTGCACTGCTTTTTGGCAGTGCCCCCACAATATCCACCGCCACCCAATCAAAGGGGACTTCCACCAATGGTACTGGTACTAATGGGGCTCTTGGAGGACAACTGGGGTTTACTTTTTGGCACACGGGGCAAGATGCGCAGTACTTGGCTACTTCCCATATTAACCCCAGCCAAAAAAATCTTCCCCTAGTGTGAGCCTTGGTTTTGTCTCGCCCTAAATGTCCACCCATAGGGAGTTCATGTGCCGCTTTCAGTAGGGCCTTTCAGTATTGCCGAGGCACCAGCAATTGTACTACTTCTTCTTCCCCATGTTGCCTTGTTTGACTCTTTATAAAAGATAGTTCCTCACCTCAAGTCACGGGGTGGTCTGCATCAGCTCTGGTCTCAGCACTTCCCCATTCCACTGGGCTAGGTGTTCCTGGAAGGCATATCAAAACCCTTCCTCTCTGCTCTGTTCCAGTCTGAAGTGTTCGTCCTCCCACAGATGTGACACATCCATCTCCTGTTCTGCTTCTTCGTCTGATAGAGCTAGTTCAGGCTCACCGGCGAATGCCTCTGTTGTAGGGTCATCCCAAAGGACCACCTCGGACCTTGCTGTCTTGCACCGTCTTTTCCCTGCTCCAAGTGGTCTCCAGCTGGGGCCTTCTCCTGCCCCTGAATTCTCCTCAGAGGCTTTCCCCCTAGTCTGGCTAGGGTAGCATTGTGGGGTACCTCCATTTTTCCTTGCCCCTCTCAAACTGTGTTATAGCCTGAGCTATAACTGTCAGAAGCTCTGGCCAGCATCATCGGGTAGGGTAAGTGCTCAACCACTCCGACCAGCATTCAGCATACTTTCTCACCCACTTGCAGAGTGACCCACACTTGGTCTTGTCTTTGTGCCTCCCCACACAAACATTGAATGGTGATCTGGTCTGCCACTCCCCTCTCTCCTCTTGGTAAGATGTCTCTCCGCACTATTGTGTGTGATGAACCAGAATCTAACACAGCCTGTGTTTTTTGCCCCTCAAGCCTAACATCTACAGTCAGTGTGGGCTGTTCCTCTCTTGGCTCTGGGTAAACCCTGGCACCATACCCACAAATGCCCACAGGGGAAACTTGGTTTGTTGGTATGTCCCTCACCATCTTCTCTAGCAATGCCTGTTGTCTTTCTGCTTGTTTCTGCAGACCCTGGACCACTTGGCACATGAGTTCCAACCCCAGTTGTTGTGCCTTTAAATCCACGATGTGGGTATGTCCCGTCTTTCCTGTTTTCTTCTTGGACCCAAGGGTTCTTTCTTTCATTCAGATCAACCATTGTCTCAGGGTACACATTACCATGAGAAACTTCCCGGCCAATGCACCAATGTAAAAGGTCTCCCTCACTGGCACTGGGGTCTGTGCCCCACAAAAGCTGCGCCCTCGCTGGTGCCGGGGTCCCCACTCCATAGTTGGTCTCCAAAATGAGGCCTCCTCCTTCCCCTAATAGCCTCACCCAAACTGCCGGTCTTCTAATTTTTTTTTTTTTTTTTTGATTATTGAATAACTGTCACCAACCAATATGATCAAGCAAAGCGGCAGGTCAGCTTACATTCGCAGGGTTCGTGCCTCAGCTCCCTTCTGTCGGCTACAGTCCTTGCTGTGGTGTGGCTGCTGTCTCCGCACGGCTTCCATAGTTC